TGTGCCACTCATCATAAGGAATCAGGTGCGGGCATGCTTATTGTCATTGTCATGCAACTGTTTGAGCGGGAAGCTTTGGATTTATCCTCACTTCGGTCATAAAGGAATTACTGTAGCAGTCTGAGGCTTGGCACCTCGGACCTATCCTTACACTATTCCCCCCCCGAAGTCATTCACTTATGAATGATGTTGTTGGGGATAATGAGGGGAGTGCATAAACAAACACAATATGGGTAAGTCATGGAAGTAAGAGGAAGAAATAGAATCTATAACTCAAATGTACACATAGCCATAGCTAATAATGAAGTATGTGATAGTGGGTCATACTGGGGTGCCTTAAATAGAATATGACCGGAGCGATCATGGCCGTAGCAGTAGTAAAAGATGATGACCGGAGTCATGGTGGCCGGAGCCGTAATAAAAAGTGATCATCAGAGCCATAATGTAACCAAGGTCGTGATAAAAAATGACTGGAGTCATAGAGGCCAGGGCTGTGATAGGAAATGATGACAGGAGTCATAATGGCCGGAGCCGAGGTAGTATGTAACACGTAGCCACAGTAAGTCATTGCGGCCGTAGCCGAAGTGAAACACTATGCCAGTTAAAAAGTATAATTGTAAAAGTAAACAGAAGTGCTGAGCTAGGCTTAAGTATAAAGACGGGAGTCATAATGGCCAGAGCAGTAATAAAATATAACGGCCGAAGTCACAATGACCGGAGCCATGATAAAATATAATGACCAGAGTCATAATGGCCGAAGCCGAAATAAAATGTGTGACACTGGGTCACGTGACCGAAGCCGATGTGAAATGTAATGCATGATTATTGTGGCTGGAGCAGAGGTGAAACACTTGCAAAATTGAGAATGTGCAAAAGTAAACGAAGGTGTTGAAATGGGCGTAAGTGGGCCTGTCTGAAAAGTCTGACAGTTGTCCTTGGAATGACGTGTGCAATAAATGCAGCCGTAAAAAGATAACTGCAACAGTTAAACGGGCAAATTTTAAAAAATGAACCGTCGAATTCAAAATGGTACCGTTTGGGGTTGGCCGTCGAATTCCAAACGGTGTGGATAGGAACCGTAAGATTAAACGAATCTCAACTGTTGAGATCTAATTTTGCCCAGAAGTATAAATAGGCATTTTTTCTGCAAAAAGAGGTTTACTTGCATTTCTTTTCCTACAAAACTTCTGCGAAAAGCTTTACTATGTGTTTCTTGCGCGTGAACTATCGCAGCATTTGGGGATTTCTACAGCGGGCTTTCGAAACCGAAATCAGGTAATGTATACGAACCTCTGATTTTGAGTGAATCGAAGTGCCTCTCTCCTTTCTCCCTTTTTGTGATTGATTTAGAGTCCTTTGAAGGAAGTTAGGGTTAGAGGGGAGAAGGATTTTGAATGTGCAACAGAAGGGGTTTTTTTTTTTTTTTTAAGGGGATCCTGACTTATTCCTCCCCCTTACTTCGTGTAGAGTTTGAGAAAATGTCCTCAAAAGGAACAGTAAGTATAGTAGGGAGTGAGGTGATGCCCCTAGACTATGGGAGCATAGACTCAGAGAGTAGTCCATCTCCATCTAGTTTGGAGAAGACAGTGGAAGGGGTGAGAGGAGATGAGGTGGTGGAGGGTCGGGGGAATGAGGTGGTAGAGGTTGGGGGGAATAGCATACCCATCACTGTAGTAGAAGTAGAAGGTAGAGGAGAGAGAGATTATGATGTGAATGTAGAGATAGTGGAGGAGGTGAAGCAGTATAGATCTGAACTAAGGACCAGGGATAGCCTAGGTCACTTAATGGAAAATTACAAGATCTCTTTCCGAGTGTTAGTTAGGCCAGCTGGGGTAGAGGAGAGAGCGTGTTCTGCTCCTCGCGATCATTGGATGCCCGTATATTCCCACTATCTGATAGCGGGGTTGAGGTTTCTAATTCCTGAGTTGCTAGTAGGTTTGTTGTTAGATTATAATATAGGGTTGACACAATTAGTCCCCAACGCTATGAGGGTAATAATAGGATTTTTAGTCTATTGCCGAGCTCAGGGGATTAATGTGCCAACCGTAAATATGTTTAAGTATTTTTTTTGTTTTAAAAGGGGGTAGTATGAGGGATAAGGGGTGGTATTATTTCACCCCTAGGGTAGCTAGTAAGGAAAGTAGGTCTTTATTCACTACGGGCCCTTCATCCATTAAAGGATGGAAGGAAAAATTCTTTTTTTTAGATGATACGGAGTGGGAGAGGGGGGATGCCGAGGTGAGGGAGTTAGCATCTTGGAAGGCTAAAAGAGCCAACCAGAATAGGTTTAGTTTAAACGAGGATTAGGAGGAAGAAGTGAGGAAGTTGGTGAGGAAGTTGGTGAGGAAAGGGGGGGATTTATTGAACATTTTGGACCTCACCAGCGCACAATGCATAGAAGCTGCTAAGCTCTATGGGCCAAGCGTTTTAAGTGAAGGTTGGTTTAATTCTGCATTGTAGTACTGAATGTAGAGTATAGAACTGTAATTAATATTGTGTGTTCTTGCTTTGCAGCTGAAATGGATCAGTTTTTGAACACTACTGGAGGAGTGGCTATCCCCAAGAAGCCAAGGAAGAAGTCAAAGACTTCAACCAAGCAAGTGGAAGAGGTGAGGGCTAGGAAAGAGGTAGTGCCCGCGACTTCAGCTGAGGCAGGGGAGGAGGTGCCGTAGTTGAAGAGGAAGGGTTGGGAGGAGAGGAGGGCACTGTAAAAGAAGAAGAAAGTGGTGGTGGAGGAGGAGGAGAGGGGGAATGAGGTACCTCAGTTCATACCTCAGCCTCCTCCTGTTAAGCTGGACCTGAGCTCAGACAGTTGGAGGAGGGGGCTGAGGTACGAGTTCCCAGTAAGGGAAAGGGCCCTGTTCCCCCAATGGCGTTCCAGAGCAGCCTGTTCGAGGCGAAGAACATGACGGGGGCTAGGTGGTTCATCAACTCCACCTTCCCCAAAGTGGACAAACGCAATGCGCGGGATAAGGCTCTGAGGTATTGTGGGGCTTCAGTGGTGAAGCATGTTTTAGAGGTATATTGAGTTATTGGTGTTGTTTGTTTAATCTCTTCCTTTTTCTCTTCTAGTTCTCTTGACTTCTACGTTGATTTGCAGAGCGCGAGCTGGGTGAATGGTCTAGCCCAGGAGTTTCTAGATAGCGTGAAAGAGTGCTCGCTCTTGCAGAGGCAGTTTGACCGGCTGCAGAAGGAGAAGGAGGAGTTGGAGAAGAAGAATAAAGAACTGCAAGAGTCGCTGAACGAGGTGGTTCCAACTGTGAAACAGTTGGAGCAAGAGAGGGCTTCCCTGAGCACCAAGCTCGTCTTTGAGGAGAGTAAACGAAGGATCTCTGAAAGCGAGCGTGAGGCTCAGGCGCAAGAAATAAAACTAATGAAGGAGGCTTTCTTGGAGCTGAAGGAGAATGTGCAGACCTTGGTGCACAATGGGATGAAGGAGCACATCAGCAACTTTATCAGCTCCAACTCGTTTGACAACATCGTCAACTTGTACCGGCTGCCCACTGCCATCATTGCATTCACAGACTGTAGGAAGAAGGTGAAGGCAGAATATCCCAAAGTGGATATTACAAAGATCACCTTCAGCGAGCAAGAAGAAGGAGTGGAGGAAGACAGTGAGAGCATGTCAACAGACTTCCGTCCTTAAATCAAACTAAGGTGGGAGCATGATGCAAACGGACCGTGCTGTTTTCCCTCCACAGTTCGACTTCGAGTTCGTTGTAGTGGAGGAAGAAGGGGCAGAGGTAGAGGAAGACGAGGTGGAGGCAGGAGTGGAGGGAGCTGAAGTGGATGATAGCCAACCAGTTCTAGAAGTGGAGATTCATTCAGTTCCTTCCGACGATGAGCAGCCTCCTCTGCCAGACGAGTAGCAGCCAACACAACCACCTCCTCCAGCTGAGCAGGAGCCAGTGGAGCCACCTCTCCCAGCAGAGAAATAATTTTGTTTTTTAATTTTTTGTAGAAACATTAAACAATTTACATGTAATACTGTTATTACGTTAAATGAAAATTTAGTTTTGAAATTATATATTTGTTTATGTTTGCTTTATATTTTTATTATTTTTTGTGAATAAAAGAACTGAGAGTACTTGAGACATGATTTGAAAGAAAGCGTACCACTTCAGGGATGAACCAAAGGGAAGTAAGTCACTTCAAAGGAATTAAGAAGAAGTAAGTCACTTCATATAAATTAGGAACAAGTACATCATTGCAAACGAATTAAAAGAAAATAAAGTACTTCATATGTGAAGTGACATTTATTAATCAGAAGTGAGGTTCAAGGACTGATTGACCTCGGATACATAGAATAAATGAATCTCAACAATCATGAAGTAAGAACTGTAAGACAGATTTCTTGAAAGGATTTTATTAGGGGTAAAATTTCTTTAAGTTATTGACATTCCAGACTCTAGGAACTCTCTTTCCTTCAGTGTCTTGGAGGACATAGGCACCAAGATGTGGCACCTCGGCCACGGTATAAGGGCCTTCCCAATTTGGAGCGAGTTTGCCAAAACGAGTTTCAAACCCTGTTAGGCCAGCTTTTCTGAGAACAAGGTCTCCTACTTTGAAAATTCGAGGGCGGACTCGTTTATTGTAGAAGTTGGCTAGTTTATGCTTGTATACAAGAGTTCGAAGCCGAGCTTATTCTCTAACTTCAGCAAGCAGATCAAGGTTTTCCCGAAGCAGTTGTCCATTTCGTCCTTCATCGAAATGGGTGACCCGGAAGCTTGGGACTCCTATTTCAACAGGAATGACTGCTTCGGTATCAAAGGCCAAGTGGTAGGGTTTTTCACCTATTTTAGTTAATTATAACTTTAGAATGCGCTTTATGGATTATGCATTTTTGCTCTAAGGTAAAGCGTAACAGAAGAAGTAAAATAATATAGGAATCAATCAAATAGACTCAGTTTAAAGTAATACCTGTGGCAGTTCGGCTCGTGGTTCTGTATGCCCAAAGGACATTGTTGAGCTCATCTGCCCATTTGGCCTTATGCTGTTCCAATCTCGACTTTATACCTTCTAAAATGCATTTGTTAATAGATTCAACCATGCCATTAGACTCCAGATGGTAAACAGAGGTGAACTGTAACTTGATCCCATAACTGGAACAGAAATCTCGGAATGAGGAACAATTGAACTGAGTTCCATTATCAGCCACAATTTGATTTGGGATCCAATATCTGCGGATGATCGAGCTGAAAACAAAGTCTTCGACCTTCTTGGAGGTAAGACTAGATAAAGGCCAAGCTTCAACCCACTTTGTGAAATAATCCACACCAACAACCAGATGGGTTACACCACTAACCCCTTTCAAGAATGGGCCTAAAAGATCCAATCCCCACTGAGCAAATGGCCACAGTGCTACCAAGTTCGTGAGCTCTTCTGTTGGTTGGTGAGTCAGATGTGCGAAGAATTGACATTTCGGGCATTTTTGAACAAAGTAAGTGGCATCTTTGTGCATGTTTGGCCAGTAATATCCTTGCCTTAAGACTTTGTGAGCCAGGGTCCTAGCACCAACATGGCTCTCGCAGACACCTTCATGCACCTCTCGAAGTGCATATTCAGCTTCGTAGGGGTTTAAACACCGTAGAAGAGGAAGTGAGAAAGATCTCTTATACAGGACCCCATCAACGAGTGTATACCGGGATGCTTTCTTACTCAACTTCATTGCCTCCTGCCTGTCCTCAGGTACTATCTCATCTCGCAAAAAGGAGGTGATTGAATTAGTCCAGCTCGGCGTGTCGGGATTTGTGCTAATCTCCATCATCCGAGGCTTCATGAAGCTTGGTTCATCTAAGACCTCTACAAAAACGGATCTGGAACTTAAAGAGCTATCAGAGGCAAACTTGGAGAGTGAATCTACCTGTTCATTCTCAGGTCGGGGAGTTTTGCTCAGACAGAATTTCTGGAATTTGCATTTCAGCTCGGCCACCAAGGCTACATATTTCACCATCATAGGATCAACGACTTCGCATATTGAGTTGATTTGGTTCACTACCAACTGGGAGTCACTGTATACTTGAATTGCACTGATTTTAAACTCCAATGCTAGCTGTAGGCCAAGTAGCAGAGCTTCATATTCAGCGATGTTATTTGTTGCATCAAATTTGAATTTCAAAGCATGCTCGCTTCGATAACCCTCTGGACCAATCAAGATAGCGCCAACTCCTGAACCCTTGCTAATAGATGCCCCGTCAACATACAAGGTCCAATCGTTGGGCTCTGGATTAGGGGTTGAAGGACATGGGGTACATTCAACAATAAAATCTATTAGCGCTTGAGCTCGGATTGCCGATCTCTGCTAAAATGTTATCTCAAACTCCCCCTGCTTTACTGCCCATTTAATTAATCTTCTAGAGCACTCTGGTTTCTGTAGGATCTGTCGGAGAGGTTGATCTATGAGGACAATAATTGGGTGTGACTGAAAATATGGCCTCAACCTCCTGGCCGAGGTGACAACTGCTAATGCTGCTTTCTCAGCTATAGGATACCTCAGCTCTGCTCCGTGCTGTACACTACTGATATAATAGATTGGTTTCTGCTGCTTGGTTTCTTCTCGCACCAGAACTGAACTAATGGCTTCATCTGAAATTCCCAGATACAAATAAAGAATCTTCCCATCTATAGCCTTAGTCAATAGAGGTGGCGAGCTAAGATAAGACTTCAGCTCGTCGAATGCAGTTTGGCATTCCTAACTCCATTCAAATTTCTTTTGTTTTCCTAATTCCTCCTTCTGGGCGGCTGACCTCATAATCTTGAAGAATGGCAGGCACTTATCTACTGAATTCAATATGAACCGATGAAGAGCTGCCACCCTTCCAGTCAACCTCTGTATATCTTTTACTGATTTCGACGGTTCCATCTCGGCAATTGCTCTGATCTTCTCTGGATTGACCTCAATCCCTCTTCGAGATACCATGAAACCTAGAAACTTTCCAGACCCCACTCCAAAGATGCATTTGGCTGGGTTTAACCGCATCTTGTTCTTTTTGAGGTTGTTGAAGGTTTCGTCGAGGTCAGCTAGATGGTTTTCTGCTTTCAGGCTCTTTACCACAATGTCATCGACATACACCTCTAGATTCCTGCCGATCTGAGCTCGGAAGACAATGGTTACCATTTTCTGATAAGTAGCACCAGCGTTCTTTAAGCCAAACGGCATCATGACATAGCAATAAATTTCATCGCCAGCATAGAACGAGGTTTTCTCTTCGTCTTCAAGAGCCATCGGCACCTGGTGATACCCAGAATATGCATCCAAGAGGCTTAACCTCTCATTGCCTGAAGCTGCTTCAACTAATTTGTCAATGCTCGGCATCAAATAGCAATCCTTCGGGCAGGCTTGGTTAAGATTTGTGTAATCAATGCACATTCGTCATTTACCGTTTGCCTTCTTCACCAGGACTGAGTTAGCCAGCCATTCGCAGTAATCAACTTTCCTAACGAAACCAGCTTGTAGAAGTTTCTCTACCTCTTCTTTAATAGCCTGAAGCCTCTCCCCCCCAAAGAGACGTCGCTTCTGGGCCACTGGTTTCTTCAATGGATTGGCGCTGAGCTTGTGTTGAGATACTAAATTTGGAATTTCTGGCATATCTATCGAAGTCCATGCGAATACATCATTGTTAGCTCGGAGAAAAGCTATTAGCTCTGCTCTTACCTCCGGGTTCAATCTAGTTCCGATCTGCGTCTTCCGGCTCGGATCTCTGTCATCAATGAGCACTTCTTCAACATCTTCGACCGAAGCAGCTCTGGTTTCATCTTCCGGTCGATTATCTACGATTTCTACACCCATAACTTGTTGATTATCAGGAATTCGCTGGGGAACGGCCTCGGGTGTCTGATCTTTGCCCTTCGTTGGTTGTGTTACCGAGGTGATATAACAATGTCTGGCCACCTCCTGGTTTCCTCGCAGTGTTGCTATTCCCATAGGAGTTGGGAACTTCATGCAAAGGTGAGATTGGGAAACCACAACTCGGATTTCAATCAATGTGGGTCAGCCAATAACAATGTTGAAAGATGATGCCATCTTGACGACGAGGAACCAGACTGAAGGGGTTACATAGGTCCGGTCACTCCCAAAAGCCACATGGAGGGTAAGAACTCCTTCTACCGGAACAGGTTAGTTGTTAAAACCATAGATGGGACCATCATATTTCTGCAACAATGCCGAATCTAGCCCAAGACTCTCGAAACAATGGAAGTACATGATGTCTGGTGCACTCCCGGTGTCGACAAGGACACGCTGTACTTCACAGTTGTTAATCATGACAGAAGTGACCAAGAGATCATTGTGGGGTGTAACAACTGTATCAAGATCAGCATATGTGAAAGTAATGGGTTTATTCTTCCACTCAACATCGTCAAACTTCCGTTTCTAAGCTCGGTTCTCATGTTTAACCTTTCTGACATACAGCTTTCGCTGTTTAGAGCTCAATCCACCTGCTTCCAGACCTCCCGTGATCATGTGTATGATTCTAGCTGGTGGTGGGAACGGAGGTGGGTTTTGCTGATATCCCACACCTTGCCTGTTTGATGGGTTACGAGTTCCTTGAGGTTGTGGCCCTTGTTCTCTGAAAAATCATGGTTGTGCAGCTCTCTGAACATACTCATTCAGCATTCCCTTCTGAACTAGACTTTCCAGTTCGAACTTTAAGCTGTTACACTACTCTGTAGTATGGCCGTGCTCCTAGTGAAAATCACAATATCTAGTATGGTCTCGGCTAGCAGCAACAGTTTTCATTGGGCCAGGACGCCTTAAATCCATTTTATTCTTGATCTGCATAAAAATTTGTGACATTGGCAGATTAAAGGGAGTCCAATTAACTGGAGGTTTACCTGTAGATTGTTGCGGGGGTGTTGAGTTCGGCCTTCCGAATCTCGGTGTATAGGTCGGCATCGGACCTCGATTCTGCGCCATCCTCATTCTTTTCCGGCTCAAATTGTCATCTCTCCATTCTGGGTTTTGGTTCTTAGAAGGAGTCGGATTTTGCGCCAGGGCATACTCCTCAGCTGTTATAAATTTCAGAGACCTATTGTTCACCTCGCTAAAGGTGATGGCAGCATGTTTGATCAAACTGTCTCTGAACCTTTCATGTTTAAGACCGGAGATCACAGCTGCAATCCCCACAACTTGATCAAAGGAACTAACCTCCAATACTGCATCATTGAACCTGCTCATATAGTTTTCCAGAGATTCTCCATCCCTCTGTTTAACTCGCATCAGCTCAGAAGTAGTTTTCCTAATCAACCTTCTACTAGAAAACTTAGTGGCAAAGGCAGATGTCATTTCTGTATAAGAGCTAATTGGCCTCGGATGTAAACTATAATACCAAGTTCGAGCATTACCTCGGAGAGTAGAGGGGAAGATTTTGCACATCAACATGTCAGAGGCGTTTTGAGCTTGCAAGCAAGAGTAGAAAGCATGCAGATGATCATCAGGATCCTTTGTCCGGTCGTAAGTCTCCAGTTGTGGTATTTTGAAGCCAGCAGGATAGGGTTCCAGTGTAATGTTGGTGTTCAGGGGGTGAGGTATGGAGTCAGCAGCATGGTGTGAGGGTGGAGCACCTCGGTGTTCAGCTACTAGCTTTTCTAAGCTATCAAGGCGTCGAGTAACATCATCAGGGAGGGGTTGTTAAGCGGGTGCTATGTGGGATTGACCCTGAGATTCACTAATAGCGGGAGCATGCTGAACTGGTTGAGGATTCTGTTGTGGAGCTGGGGGTTGTTGATTAGGGTTCAGTAAATTAATGAAGGGATCACCAAGATTATTTCTAGCTAAAAGCTAAGCCAGTACCAACTAAAAAATACCGAACTGTTGTTGCATGGCAGCAAGCTGAGCAGCCACTACGTCTTGGTTGGCAGTGGAAGTTGAATTGTGAGCTGAGGTATGAGGTTGGTTTTCATCTCCTCCTTCTGCATGATCAACATGAGGGAACATAGTTGGGACCTGAGGTGGAAGTTGAGGTGTAAGTTGAGGTGGGATCAGAGGTGGAAGGTTGTTGGGGGGTTGGCCTTGCCCATGAGGCAGAGATGAATTACCAACTCGGACTGATCGAGTGTGAACCATGATGAAAAAGCAACTAGAAAGCTTTTAGTTCGGATTCCCACAGACGGCGCCAATGTAATTGCACCAAACCAGAAGTCCTTCTTCAGTCCACGTTTGCCCTCCAGGATGACCTGCAAAGCCCCGAGGTGAAACTCGGGGTAGACACTCCGATACTTAAGTCAGCAATAATCGGAGCTACCTTTAGAGCGGAGATAAAAAGAGCTTAGGGTTGGTTTCAATTACCTTTTGACGTGGCTGGGGGGGGTATTTATAGGATCCAATGAGGAAACCACGTGGCATGCCAAGCAAGATAATCGGAGCCTGACGTGTCTATCCAGACGATTATCCCGGGACCGGGAATTTGAGAGGTATTCAGATGCACGGATGTCCACCATACCTGCTGTGCCACACATCATAAGGAATCAGGTGCGGGCATGCTTATTGTCATTGTCGTGCAGTTATTTGAGCGGGAAGCTTTGGATTTATCCCTCACTTCGGTCATAAAGGAATTACTGTAGCAGTCTGAGGCTTGGCACCTCGAACCTGTCCTTACAGGTATGCATCCTCTGTTTCTTCATCTTTATCGAGCTTCGATACAAACTTCGTTATAGCTTCACATTTTTGGATCATGCTTTTGTTTTACTTTTGCCAAGATTATGCTTTTTTCAATGGTGTTTCGATTAAAGAAAGAAAAAATTGTTCTTTGGGTAAGAATCTAGCAAGGAAGAAGGATAAGTTTCTAGTTTAATTGGATCAGAAGGATTAGGGATTTTTTCTTTTGACCTGTGAAAGACTTGGGATTTAATCCCTAAATTGAATGTTAAAATTAAAAATTGAAACCAACTTGTTTAGTGAGAATTTTCAAAACTTAAAATCAAATGTCAAAATTTGTTTAATTTCTTAAATAAGTTTATTTTCAATCTAAATTATTAAATTTTTAACGATCAAAACTAAAACGTAAAAACAGTTATACTAAATGCAATCTTACTTTTTTATATTAGCATTATTTCAGTAAAAACCTCAGGGTTGAATCTACAAGTAAACATATATCTCTTGTCGTTGAAAAACTAAAAAAAAAA